CCAGGAGCCCCTAATAGCTTCTTGTTACTAGTAGTAAGGCCAGGAGCTCCTAGTAGCGTCCTTGCTCCTAGTAGCGATGCCAGCAGCCCCTAGTAGCTTCTTGTTACTAGTAGTGAGGCCAGGAGGCCCTAGTAGCGTCCCCTTCTGCGCTTTGTTGTTTGAAGTCTGCATTCATTTGTCGGGTATATTACGGAAGATTGGATCAGAGGCATGAGACTTTGACAAAAGGTCAACAATGTCTGGAGAGGAACAACTTTTTGCAAGCAAGTTGCGGCAGGTTGTACTGAGCCTCAGTCAAGCGATGTCAAGCCTACTTACTACTTGCTCTTATATTCTCTCATTATCTGGTCGAGTCCAACAATACGAGCGGGTCCAAAGACAGGAAGATTGCTTGATCTGGAAAAAGTTATCCTCGGTATTTGACCTCTCCATCCGAACGCCAAGGAGCAATCCAAGTCCCACCACGCTCAGTACGGCGTCGATCCAAGTAGCGCGTGACCGGGTTGGTGTTTTCCTGCAAAGAAACTCTGCGCACATTCTGAACCAACAGCGGCAATATAGATTACAGGTTATGTAATAGTATTTGCTATCAAATCCCGCACGGAGAAACAATTCAGAGGTTTCTTTTCTGGCAAGCAACAGGTAGAAACTACACAAGACGCAAAGGAAACCAATATAGTAGTCCAGAAGCCAAAGCACGCCTGACGTTCACGTTCACGATTTGCCTGCATCCACTCAATAGTGTATCGTTTGGGCCTGGCCACTTCAGCACAAAGGTGGCTTGCAATCAGATAGTACTCTCAGCAATCCCAGCGGCTGTATTGGACAACAAACATTCTTGGCGGCTTTCAATCAAAAGAATCAGCTTCAGTTGTATAACAATACAGGATCATTTACAGTATTCATTTGCACTACACTGCCGATGGCCTGATTCCAATACTGCCTGCGTTCTGGAAGATCATCTGAGTGCCGCGAGCAGTTCTCTCATGCAATTCATTGGCCAAACATGTTTTCATTTCATCGAACTCTTTGCTCCCTCAATGCCCTGCAAATCCACCCTCTTCGTTGATTAATCAACGACTACTGCATTTAGCAAAGTCAGGGTCTGGTGATCGGTTAGCAGAACTCGACTGCTTGCATCCTCTGAGCAACTTGTCCATACATTCCAGTGTTGCAGGAAACTGGAACACTATGCACCACAAGAGGGAAGATGCCATATGTGTTTGGTTTCTTTTAGTTTCCCTAAACATCTAGGAAGCAAATCATTAGTGCGAGCGGTTTTTTGAAGAAAGCTCCCCCCCCGCCCTCGCGTGGGGGGAGCTTCCTTGAAGAAGCGTGAGCTATCCTGCGTCCTAGCTAAGAGCTTCCCATTGCTAGTAGCAATAAGATATTACTTAATTAAGCAGGCGCCTACTTAACTTCTTTGAGTAAGGAGGCAAGGGGCCCCCACGGGCTTTAAGCAAACAACTTCTCAAAAAGAGATGCGCAGCACCGGAGTGATCTGAAGCTGAGGAGGCGGCCATAAAGACCTTCGGTGCAAGGTGCTGAATATTTGGTGTCAAAGCTTGTTATATACACTGCCTGAAACAAACGCCTGAATGAACATGCCACAAATCATGATAGTCTCTCTCTCTCTCTCTCTGTCTATATATATATATATAGTCTATGAAAACTTGAGTTGCTTGCACCTCTTGCAGACTATCACAGGTTCATCCTTGCTTTACACTGACCTTCAATTCAGCGCCAGCCGATCAGCTACCTGCCTCGTACAAGTACTTTCATGATGGCATATCTTCCATGTTTCATCCCATTCCAGAAAAAGCAACATACTTGAACACGAGGTCTTGCTTTGGGCCTTCCCACTTGTAAGCCAAGACACAATAGCCAGTGTGATCATGATTGGTGACACGACCCAGACCCTTGGAGTGCATGACTCTCTGTGCGCATCTGTCTGTTTTCTACAGTCACTAATGTATCCAAATGTTCTAAAAATCCCAAACATGTTGGAGGCTGGTCAGTCTGAGGCACGGGAAGCTCTGCAACCATGCCCAGTAGGGGGGATAGTCCTCATTGGTAAGATCCGCTGCATGGAGCGAATTCCAGTCGCGCTCAAGGCTCATGGCAAACATCGACTGCGATTGCTACTAGTAGCAATGGCCCCTCACCCTAGTAGCGATGGCCTCCAACCTACTAGCCATGGCCTCCAACCTAGGAGTGTACCGTCCAAATCCTTCCTGATTCAAAGAGTTTTGTGCACCAATCACAATCTTTCAATTTGAACGAATGCATTTCAGCAACTTGAAATGGTGTTGCCGTGAGATGACTTTCTTCAAGCCATGGACTTTATGAAATCTCCGCGAGTTATCTTCAAAAGGAGCAAACCTCAGTCTGAGATAATCAGATAGTCCTGGGCAAACTCTCCATAGTAGACGGTGTGGAAGCTTGGTGAGGCGGCCAGCATGTGTCGTGTGCGTGGGTGCGTTGCAACACATGACAAACATTGCCTGAACACAGCTGCCTTTGAGATTTGGATCAACATACTGATTCAATTGTGCTGTGGTCAACAACTTGACAAAGTTCAACATTATAACCACTTTCTGGCACGAAAAGTCACTTTGATGCCACCCACAGCGTCATGTCAACATTAGGAAAGTGGCATGCATTCACAACCTTGTGACTTTATGTAATCAGGACTTTAATATCAAACAGAACCATCTGTTGAACCAAGGGCAGTACATTCCTGCTGGCATCAAGGTCCAATGCTCCCAATCCTGAAAACGCGGGAGCATAGCGGGCGCTGAATATAATACTGTAATGTTTGCAGTGAAACCATTGAGTGATTTGAGGGCGCCACATAGCCATGGTCCCAAACTGGTTGATGCAAAGGGTACCTGGTCAGTGCACAACCGACTTCGGTCCGAACACATGGATGTTGCACAAACCGCACCCGTCCTGTCTGAGCAGAACAACCCACCGCAAGTTGGTTATTCAGTATTCAGCTTATACAACTAATATACAGTAAAGGTAATGTTCACCCCTTTTTCACTACAGCAACACTTTTCTGTCAATTTCAAGAATAACATTCCCAAATCTATTGCTTTGTGTTGCTGTCATATTCTGCAATTGTCACTCCAATACAGTATGTCAATGCATCGTCCAACTACCTTTTGGTGGGCTTGGGCTGCCTTCCATAGTATAAAGTAAATTCTAACCAAATGTGTAGGTATTGATAAACATGTACTGTATATATAAATACATACACAATATTATACAATGTATTGCTTCAAGGCGGCACAACAGTACACTGATAAAGTAATATGAACTGCCAGTTGAATCACAGAACTTGATAACGAATCACCAAGGAGTGAACATCTAATGTCCGGAAGTCCGGGGCACTTCTTTGGAGTGCCATCTGGCTCAAACTCAGGAGGAGGTGGTGGCGGCATGTGCAGGAACCTAAGCCGTTGAGCTGCCCAGCGCGGCTCCTATATTTCAATTCTCCGAAAAGTGATTCAAAGTTCAGGGGCCGGGTTAGAGCTATAAAATACAGATCGTCCAGGGTCAGAGTTTCTTTTTGGGCACCCTGCTGAATCAAAGAACAACACCCCTTGCCTCAACAAATCTGGGCTAGCTAACGGGGGCATACCTCCAAGACGAACAGAGGAGCTCGAAACCTCAGGAAACCAGCAGGATTCTCCGCATCAGGAACTTTGTCGTGTTTGATGTACATAATGATTCAATGACTTCGCAAGTTCCAAATATCAACAATACATTCACAATCGGTGTGCCTATCTCATGTCACGTGTAGAAAGTAGTTGCACGAATCATTGGATAAAGTCTGACAAACTTGCGGCAAAATCAATTATTAAAGCGGTTACTGAGCTGGTTTCTTGTCTATGTGACTCTATGTGTGACATAACAATAATATATATATATATGTATATTACATTATATTACTATTACGGTATATAAAATACATAAAGAATGATCTGACAGCAACCTGAGATTGTAGCTCCTCGCACACCCAAAGCTGTGCGGCATCGTGCTGCTCGTAGAAGCAGTGCCATGATGGAGAACCTGTAGCTCTGCTTTGTTGACAGTTGTTCTTGCAAGTTGGCGTGAAAACGTGTAACTCACGATCATCTGCGCACATAAGATACGCATCACCAAGCAAGATTGCCAAATGAAAAGTCCCCTGCTATAATATCTGGATTTTGACCACAGTCTCCTGGCAGCTTCCGTCTTATCTCCTGGTTTCCCCACGAATCTCCAGGCAAGGCAAGTGGACAGCTCGGCGCACAGCTGTGAGCCCAAAGAAAACCCAGCAATGACAACCGTCTGAGCCCCGATTCAACAAACCCTACACGACCTGTGGCCCCACAACTCCATGCACTGTGAATGAGAGCTTGGGCGGAGGAGTCAGGTTGCTCCCAGAGATTATTGCCTGGTGTTGCCTGGTAGGTTAAGGCATCTGAGGCCCACGCGGCGTTTGGATGGCATCCGGTAGTCCAAGCACCTGGCATCTGAGTCCAATGAACATCCAAACATCTGTCGAGTTGTGGCAATATCGATGTATTCCATGATCTTCGAAACACCCTGCCCTTTTTTGCAATTTAATGCAGCAACCTCAGCTCAGAGGAAATCTTTGGCTGCGTGCAGCCTCTTCGGCGGTGCACAGTCTCGTCCAACGGCGGTCGTCTTCAGTCTCAACGGCAGTCGTCGGGAGACCAAACACCCCAACGAAAGGGGTATCGAGGGCATCGAGCTCAGAACGGGCATGTGGGACAGCATACCCACTTGATATGGCTGCATGGCTGGGCCATGGAAGGCATCCAGTCGCTGTGGAGGTACATCCATAATGACCTCGTAGTTCTGCCCAATGGGTCCATCAGATGGTAAATGGATCTCTGGAGCAGGTGGCGCAGGTGTTTCCCGAGTATCTTCAGGTATCTCTGACGTAGGCCCCAAAAAGTCCTTTATCCCAAGGAAGCTCTCTGCAAGCTTCAGGGCTGCCGTATTCAGCACCATGGCTTCGCTCCAAGGGCCGGCAAGGATTCCATCGTGTCACTGTGGAAGTAGGCCAATTCTTACGGCTGCTGTGTCTTGACCAGTAAAAAGAAAAAATAAACAACAGGTTCAACAGGAGGAAGAAAACAACAGCTGATTATGTGAGTGACTGCGATCAAACTTGATCATCACTTTCTTGCTTTCTGCAATCTGAGCAATGACTGCAAGAAACTGAACTCTTGAACTCGGTAGATATCACTGCACGAAAGAGTTCACCAACGAAACGCTTGGCTCTCTTTGGCTCACGAGGTCTTGGGCAACTCAACTTGGACCCACGAACATCCATCGGCAAACCTTGGTCCATCGGCAGTCTTGTCTTCCTGCGTCTCTGGGTGGGTCGTACCCATTCCGGAAAAGGCTCAGGGCATTGAAGTGCCACAACAAAGGCCTGCACCAGCAGCAAACTTCGAGGCGTGTTGTCGGCGCACAACTACCATGAAAGCCATGTAGATTCATCTATATAGTCTGGTTGCAGGGATTCCAAGAAATCACAAGACCTAGCTCCTACTGTCCTTGATTCTAGATTGGAGAATCAAGCTGAAACAGATTGAAACACTTATGCAGGCCTGTGCAAAGTGAAGGCAGTTGCGCTTCACTGGGTGGTACCTGCACTCGTCAAATCAACGCGACGGCTGTCAATCTGGAATGACCAGCGGAATGTCTCAATTTCATAGTTTTTCCACCCTTCTAACCATCTCAAGACTCTCATAGCCTCAAACCGCCATACTTCATCCTGGTAGCACTTGCTGATGCTCAGTAAGTAGATGTATATAATTAAGTAGTAAGTAGTAATCTTTTGATAGCGATATTCAAGGATAGCAATAGAATGCAATAGACACTTAGGGCAAGTAGAGTTGATTTTGTTCTTCCATCAAGTCCTGCTCCTGGTGTCCAGCTCACGAGTTGGCTGGCCACTGGTCAACCATTTCACCAAGCACCTGAAGCGAACCAACGGCGGTTGAAACATTCTGTGCGAAATTCAGCGGGCCAACGACGTTGAGCACATTCTTAGCCGCTAAAAGCAGTGAAGTCCAAGGGCTAAGTCCTTTCGGTCGGAGGGGACAGTGAGCTGAACCAAGTTCACCATGAACTTTCGGACGCCAATTTCAGAAGGATTTGTCAACTCCCGAATTCGACGTTGACTCCTAAGACTCCATAACACAATTCGACGTCAACTCCTAAGGAATAAATATATATCCTAGTCCTAAATCCTAAATGAAGCCAAACATTCTTTTCCAGAAACATCCTTCAGGAATCCTTCCCTATCTCCTTTCACAGAATGCTGATCCTCCACAATACTTGTCCAATTTGAAGCCATTTTTTGGAACTGTTTGAATGAGGACTCCCCGGTTCATTGATCAGAGGTGGACAGCGGCAAAAACAGTCAAAAGGAAAAGCCGAGAAACCCCTGCAAGAACTCTTGCGCTGAATGACATGTCAACCTTGTGTTCTTTGAAGCACGTCGAATCGGTCTTCGCGAATCTTCGGGTTGATTCCTCTTCAGGCCTCGATCACATCTGAGGCTACTGGCACTGCGGATCTGACTTTCGTTGAGCTTGGAAAAGCCCAGATCAACAGATTCAGTGTAGATGTGCACCTGAAAGAGGATGATCCATCTCTCGCATTTCTCCGGCTTGTGCAAAGGAACACATGCGGGAAGGCCAAAGCACTTTCATGTTTATGGCAAAGTTAACTTGCAGTGTGAAACGATCTTCATGCACAGCTATTCTATGTGACGAACATGCCAAAGCCGTGCCCCTGTTCTATTCTTCAGGCCTGATGGGCTTGTGGTCTCATCCAAACCACCCCAGAATCTGGCAAGGACACGAAACTTGAGAGGTCGAAACAAGCTTGGAAGCGGTGGATTAGGAATTTTTAAATGCTTCATTGACACTTATCAATCTTACCGTTTATATTTTGCTGCTGTAGGAAAAAATTGCACTCATGAGTTGCTCGCTTGTTTGCAAACAACAACGACAACAACCACAAAGCTCAATCGTTGAAGGCGTCCGAGGCCCGTTTCTCCCAGCGCCTGGAGTGTCGGCCCAACGGAAGTACCACTCGTCACCCAAAACCTGCATCGATATGAAGTGGTGGCTTCAAATTGCCGAGTTCAGAAGTACGAACTGTAGACTCAAACTATCTCAAACTACAGGAGCTTTCACCATTGCAGTGCAGTCTAGTAAAGAATAGTAAAACACACATTTCGCACATGCATGATAGATTGACGCGCATTGTCGCATCTTTTTTAGGATTTACTCAGTCATCGTGTTTCATCGTACGATCTTGGTTGATCAAAGCAACGCCTGGCAGTTTTTCAAACACTCGCAGCGGCTCGCGTGTGCCTCTACACCAACATGGAACGCACCCAAACCCATCTGCCGCAAGAGGGTCTGATTGAGTCGTGCCTTGGCATTCAAAGCAGCAAGAAAACTGTTGGGCAGGTCAAAAAGGGAAGAAACTAATCTTTGCCTACTGTAGTGATTATTGAGTTAACTTGAAACTGCAAAAACATCGAACAAAACACCGAATAAATAGGGGCCAGCATGCTCCCCCTGCTCAGCTCTCTGATGCGTTGACCAACTCTTCAACTTTCCTGCCTGCCTGCCTAACTTTTGGAGTTAACATGACGCTTTCATGACTGGTTTCTGCCCAGAAAGCCCCTCACCATCACAGTGTCGAGATCATAGATGTGAAGCCAAATCCTGTGGTATTTCCGCCGTCGACCTAAGGAGCAGTCGCTTCAGAGGGACTCGGACTAATAGTTATGGTTGGTTGGTTGGCTGGCTGGCTATATAATTGGTTGGTTGGTTCCCTAGTTTCTTGCCATAAATTTGGTAGTGGTAAGCATACAGTCAAGCAAGGAAATTCCACTTGCTTCAAACAAGCGACGCGCAGCCTCTTCTAGTGTCCTGTTGTAGTTATTGAGTAACACACGTTGAGTATTTATGAATCTTTCAATACGACAGTTCAGACATGAAATTAACAATCTCAATGCAAAGAGCTCAGCGCCTGGCCCGAGTTCGGTGTTCTACCTTGCACATTATGTCACATAAGATTGACCTCAATTCAAAATAGATTGCATCCACTTTGGGCCTCAAACGCCTGCATCCTGCAGTATTTCGCAATGTTGTGATTCCACGTGATTCCTGCAAGCTCTCCACCTGCCTGAGTTCTCCCTCGAGACGCATGCGTCTTGTGTTTCCGATGGATCCTCAGAGTCCAACATGTCAGCACGGCATGGTCTGTGACATAGTGCGGACAGTGACCTTTGACTATTACTTATATAATGTATCTTGATGCTAACTGCTAATTGATTCGTGACCAAGTAGAACGACAATACCTTCTGAAATATCATGTCCACTCAAGGAACAGCTGCTTGTTGGCATCTTCACGTTGACAACTTCGTGGCACTTAGTGCTCAGGATCGCAAAAGCACTTTTAACTCAAATTGCAATATCATCAAGCTGGCCACCGGGTCTGCCAATGTCTTTGCAAGACGCGCGCAGCGTCAAAACAGCAGATGCAAGATCGTGGAAGTCAGATCGATCCAGGTAGATTTGTGAGGACACCCTGATCCAGTGAGTAAGATCCTCAATGACTCGAATCGCAACGGCGTATCTTGCAGTTTCAAATCCTATACACCAGTACCAAATCTAAAGTAACACATTACATGATGGCAAAATATGTCAAGCATCCGTGGAGCTGTTCGTGTGCAAACCAAAGGAGATCACCAGCATGGAATAGTTTTGGATAAGCCCTTCAGCGATGAAACCTGCGCAGGCCTCGCTCTGTGTAGCTGCTATGGGCAGTCGAACTGCAAACATGGATGGAGTCATAGACCTCAGCTGCAACATGACCCATGCACCGTGGTCTTCGTTTTGCTTCCTGACTAGTAGTGTGAAGTCCTCAAAAAGCACCAGCTTAATACCAGTACAATCCGATGCAAGTGTATACCAACTGGATCCGTCAAAGAAATCTCCGATTCGATGAATTTGGAGCAAATCGACACTGGCACCACGGTCTCAGTACCAAAGGCCTCTGCCATCATCTGCCCTGCCCACTTGGCCAGCTCGGAGGTATACCTTTGCAGTCGGACCTCTCCACCCAACATCCGCCGGAAGTCCAAGGCCGCTCCCATCGCACACCAAGAGCTATAGTCCCGTGTGCCAATGTAGTCGAAGCGCTTTTGAAAGGTCGTCTCAGGAGAATTATCGGAGGAAATGATGGCTGGTTCCTTGGAAGGAAATGGACCACATAGAAGCTTTACGCTCGTGAAATGCGTTAAAACTTGAAATGCGTCCTGTTGCAAAACTCCAAAGCATGCTGCCAACCAGGGATCAAGGATATCTTGAACCGATCTCGATGCCCAAAGTGCACCACTCCCTTTCGGAGCCATCAGCCATTTGTGCCCATCTGTCACCTTGGAGCCAAGGATGGACAGCTATCGCAAACATAACGAGCTCCTGGAGACCCAGCTTCTTGTTCCTAGTAGCGACCCTAATAGCTTCTTGCTACCTAGTAGAGATGGCCTCCAACCTAGTAGTTTCTCGTTCCTAGTAGCGATGGCCTCCACCCTAATAGCTTCTGGCTACCTAGTAGCAATGGCCTCCAACATACTTGCGATGCCTCCAACCTAGTAGCCTCTTGTTCCTAGTAGCGAAGGCCTCCTCCCTAATAGCTTCTTGCTACTAGTAGCGATGGCCTCCAACCTAGTAGCTTCTTGTTCCTAGTAGCGATGGCCTTCAACCTACTTGCGATGGCCTCCAACCTAGTAGCTTCTTGTTCCTAGTAGCGATGACCTCCAACATACTTGCGATGGCCTCCAACCTAATAGCATCCTTGCTACTAGGTAAGCAGCTTCTTGTTCTAGATTCAAGAGCTTCCACATTTGTCTGTGGATCAACAACGTATATCAGGGTTGCCTCGAGGGCAATCCAATCAGGTCCAAGGGTGATGATAGTGATGTAAAGTACAATGACAATCTCACGGACACTTCTATAACCTTGGTCTGGGACTTTGATGGTCCTTGATGTAACAGCCTATTCAAATGGCAACACTTGGGAGATGTTCAAACCTGAATCCAGATTGGGGGCGTGGCCCTGGCTACCCGGCCAATTCTTCCTCCTAGACACGTAGGCATCCACACCAGCTTGCTCCAGCTGCCCCAGTTCGATGGGCACTTGCCCCAACGCGTGGGCGCCATCCAGCAGCACGAGCGCATCTGGGAACCAGGCCTGGCAGCGCATCTGAATCGGCTGTAGTAAGCAATTTATGTACAGCAAGTTGGAGTTTCAAAGGTCATATTGTTGGAACCTATAGAATTCAACATGTCTGGATAACGTATTACCAAGCCTGAACAAGCCTGGGCCTGGGCTATGATAAGAAGAGCGGAGCGGAAACATGCCAATTGAGAGGAGAGGATAATATAACAAAGGATGGTGATGATGACTATATATATATAGTTATTTGTAAAAATTGCATGGTCAACAAACATCGCCTCCTCTGGATCCTCAAAGAGCAAGTTCTATTGACAAAGCTTCTACTGACGACCTCAGCTGGGTGCCTTCACCATCTTGGCCAAGCGAGAGACCGGCAGGATGGCAGGTGGGTAGGAGGAGACCTTAGGCAAAAGTCACCTTGGATCAAATGATCCAAGATGGTTCAAGTCTCATTTCCTACTCAGAGCCACTCAGCCACTCTGAAACATCTCTGAAAACTTTGTGGTCTTGCCACTCGCAAAGCATCAACTGAGAATCAAATGGCTACTATGAGAGCAATTTGCAAGAGTGATGAAGAAACATAGCGACTGTTTTGGTCACAGCCAAGGCATAGGCCCTTTGAACTGCAAAGTCTTGTCATCCTGACCCTGTTTCATTCCGTTCAACCAAGTCGGGACTGCTGCTCTGAGATGCTCTGTTTGCAAATATTGCTTAAAGTATGCTTTTGGAAGACGGTGGAGAGTGGCTTCAATGGCTTCAACAAGAAAATAACACAAACATAAACAAACGCATGGCGGGCTGCATGATCAAAGACTGCCAAGCGTAGCCGGCATGGACGAGGCAGCTGCCGTAGAGTTTGCTCCAGTGGATCTAGAAAGGACTCTGGCCCGCTGGCTGGAAAAGACCTGATGGAAGCGGTTGAACATGATTGAACCAGTCAAACATAGTTTTCCCTATCTCTCTGCCCCTATCTTTGTGCCTCTATGAGAGCTTCTGTATGGAAAGCACAAATGTTTTTGTCTCAAGGAGCTGCAATTGACACGCGTGCAAACTTCAACAAAAAAGTGCAAGGTACTGATTGTTTGACATGATAAAGACACAGACTCTTCATGGCAAACCAAGCAGAACCCTGACCGCCTTCCATGTTGCAAGAAACATACTTAAGGTTTAAGGTGCTTAGCAGCTACGGTACATAGGTAAGAATCGGATGGAACTTGAAGTAGTTGAATTCCATCCAGGACACACTTCCACTTGAACTATCTGGATGTTGTAGCGCCTTTTCAGCCATGCTCCAGTGTTAGGTAAGACGGCGTAAGCAGCCGTTGTCAGCAGCAGTACGTCCCTTGGCTGCCATGGAAGGCTGCGTAATACTGCATTTAAGCCGGAAGATGCATCATCCAGAAAGACCTCAAAAGCACATCATTTGTTGATGGTCCAAGGGAACCCTGAGGCCGACTACAACCAGCTGAGTGTGGGAAGTCGTCTCTAACCAGCTGTTAAACAAGAAACAGGTGCCATATGGTGCCATGGCCTGGCGAAACAAACCTACTACTGTAGCGATGGCCTCCAACCTAGAAGCGATGGCCCAACCTAGAAGCGATGGCTCCAACCTATAAGCGATGGCCTCCAACCTGACCTAACAGCGATGGCCTCCAACCTAGTAGCGATGGCCTTCAACCTAGAAGCGATGGCCTCGAACCTAGAAGCGATGGCTCCAACCTAGAAGCGATGGCCTCCAACCGAATAGCGATGGCCTCCAACCTATTGCGCTTTGGTGTGGCTAGATTCCTGAAAAACCATGTAGTTACAGCCCTGGAACAACAACCACGACAACAACGACAATGACCAAAAAAACGACGCCATGAACAAGCCTGCATACGCCCGCTGTCAGGTGTTTTCGGATCCCCAATGTTGTTTTCATATGCATTCATACTGTATCTTACCCGACCAATTGCTGTGTTTTTCTCGCCATATGGCAGGCAGAAGAAAAGTCGAGTGGCAACGTCCGTGGCGTTGGCCCCCATCATCTCCGCCAAGCGAGGTCTGACCTCCGAAATCACCTTCTGGTAGCCTGAGATGGAAACACACATCTGACATTTAGAGCGGCGGTCGATCAGTTCTTCACTGCATGAAGATGCATGAACGGTGTACCCCAAATGGCAGGAAATTAGTTCATTGAAAGCACATGACACCAACACAATATATATATATATAATGGGTAACACTTTAACACAATGATGTTGAATCCTTGCTCAGCAACCCATGCCTTGAGAAGTTGTCCCAATGAGTTCAAATGCTTCCCCTGCTTTCATGGCCCACCTCCTTTCATGGCCCGCCTCAATGCGTCCGTTAGAATCCATGGAAAATACATGCTCGACCAGTTCAGTTACACTACATTACATAGCTTGTGGCCAAACACTTCCAATTTCCAAGTCCTTTTGCCAGACCCGATTTTGCAATGTCGGCAACAAAGAGTTTCACTGCTTCAAAAATCAAGTCAACATGCCCGTTTCAATCCTTTTCCTTCTTGTTGTGTGCAATCATTTGCTCCTTATCTTGTTGCATTCCGAATCTGCGGCAACTGTCCCGGGGTTCTGTCCCGATAGCCTTGACCTGGTTTCATTTCCTTCCTGTGAGCTTCTTTTTGCTTGCTATCCTTTGCGTGAATTCTCTAGATGCGCTTCCTTCATTTGCTCGGTCTTGCGCTTGCCGACCAAACTCATCATGCAACTGTTCTTTTCAACTTGTGCCTGGACGGTCTTTGTTTAAATTGCTCTGCTTCCATCTGTTCATGCATCAAAACTGATTGCCGCACATTGTCACAAGGTTTTTGGCTGCGCCTAAGAACCAGCTACCTATTATGGAGAAGATATTGATAGATATTGTGTCGGATGCACTGGCATTCCTCTCGCACCATGTTGTTTGTCTTTATTTCTTGCTGACACCTTGCGCCTCAGAGTCGACTTTCCCACCCACTCAGAGACAAGACACCCCCAGAGGCAAACCAGGCCGTTGGTTGTGCTTCTTGCTCATCAATAAAGCGATTCTGCATTCTGCGAACGGGCTTCGGCGTTGCACCGAAACCACCGTGGTTGAAATTCAAAAAGCCAGGCCTCGATGGCGATGGCGATGGCTCGATGGTCTTGAACGTGTTTGGCAACACTGGAGATTGGAGCCCCACTTGCTCTGACTGGGGGTCTTACATGACCCTTGCTCATAAAGTTCCAATACTGTTCCACTTAATTGTCTAACAAAGGACAAATTCAATTGTGAGTGTAAAACGGAAAACCTGCTCACCTTGGCGAGTGACTGAAACTGGAAGTATGCTTCTCGGATGGTCTTACCAAAGGAAGGCACCTGACAAAAGCAGCAAAGTGGGGTGGTTGATTATTTTCTGATCATGATACCTTTGCCAACCTGCCAGCATAACATCCATTTGTTGGCATGTCATATCAAGTACCATATCGCTTGGGCAGGTGAAAATTGGTACATTCAATGTGAACACATCAGCGCACAACCGTCAAGCCCACCTGCGGATCAGAGCTAACCACCAAGATCTTGATGCACATGATGATGACGATGCGAACTACCACCATGACACTTTGCGAGGACATCTCTCTGCGAACTACCGCCGCAACATGTCCTATAGCACGTGACTCTAGGGTTTAGCATCAACAAAGCTTATGTAAAAACTTGAAATGCCCACTGGCCCACTGCCTCCTGAAAAACAACTGCTGATGTGTCCGTGTCCACTACCTATTCATCTGTGAAACGGGTGTTGTTTCACCTTCGCCAATCTCTTATTGTCTTGAAGCTGGTCAAACGTGACCCACGAGAAGCACATGGATGCATTGACTGGTTAAAATACATTTTGGTGTGGCGTGTGGCATTGTTGGAGTGTGTTCAGGAATGTGTTCGAACATGCCAACATTGATAGATTGCAATTCTGCTGAACTGTGCCCTGCATGAATCACAATGCCAGGAGCCAGGAGCATCAAAGTATATAAACCAATGAAGGATGGTGTGTGTTTCTTCTTCAACAGTTCGCCCCAATCAGAACCTTCTTCTCTCAAACCAAAACCGGTCTTCCAACCACAACACAATGGCTTTCTTGGTTTTGTATAGGAAAAGAATGGACAATAAATTAACACTACTGCTGTATCCCCTGCTAAGTCTTGCCTAAACAGGTCCCTTCTGCCGCAGTTACGACATACCCTTCGATGTCGTGCGCATCATCGGCCATGCAGCTTCGCAAAGGCCCCGACTGGATCAGGCTCGGGTTCCCTGGCTGAGAAGCAGAATCAGGGAGCTATCTGAGCGATCCATTAACAATTTCGGATCATTTGCGTATGCAAACGACGGAACTTGCATGACCTTTTGATACCTTATCATGTTCTCCTATATTCGTTGGAGATGCGGTCCAGCCAAAAGCCTTTAGGGGCACAATCCCATGCACAGTTATACATACATATATATATATATACATAGCATTCTGCGAAAGTGCACTGGGAGTCTTTGAAAGGTCATACTCAAGCATTTGCCTTTTTCCAAGGTCCTGGCTATTGTTGACGTTTCAGTGTTGACCAACCAAAACCATACTGTGCACGCCTGACAGATTCATCGTCGAAAGTTGGATTCATGACAGAATGCTATTAAGCCTGCTCTAAGCTCTAATGGTAACAATAGGTAACACTAGTCATATTCTGACTGAGAAGGCTTGTACTACGTGTTGATACCTTTGTAAATTGATCATGTAGTGAGCAGGTACAAATAAGATCAACAATTATCAACAATTGATGAGGATAAGGAATTCTCAACATTCCCACAACCCAGGCAGCAATGATTGGCAAGTTTTCACAATTTGGCTAAGGCGAATTAACCTTGATCCAAAAGGCGCAAACAGGGTGGAGCCGTTGTGGAATCCTCCTGTCGTAATCGTGCACTGATAAAACTTGAGCAGTTTCGCAATCCTGACAGGAGAACTTGTATGACCCATGGAGTAATGGTGTGTAAGTTCGTATGTCAGCAAGCCAATCTCATTGTATGGTTGTAGGAAGGACACCTCCAAGGCCGACACCCAAACCGCCCAAAAGGATAATTCATTTGACGCCTTGTGAGACACCATCAAACCCATCACAAGACCAACAAGACCCCTATCCTTTGACAAAGACATTGCAAGAAAGTAACACCGCTTTGGACCTTAAAGGATTAAGGTTCGTCATCAGCCAAAGATTCTCCTGGCCTTGCTAAAGAGCAGCTTCCAACTTCAGCCATGACGTATCATGACGCAATCACATGAGATAATGAACCATACTGGAACCGCTGTTTCACCATGCCTTCCAACAAGAGGGTCCAGAACAAGGACCATAGAACCACCACATCGTAGTGCATAGCACACAAGAGACCAATGGTTCATCAAGGCAATCATTAGTTTGGACCATTGGTTAAAAATAATATAATTGGCCTTAGAAGGCATTGTGTTCTCTCCGGATTGCCCCATACCACCCCACAGAAGAAGACATTGCCTTCCTTTGGAAATGGGCAACTCTCGTGTCATTATTGGCCAACTCTCCCTTGCCACATCTTGCCACTATGACCATCCTACAACGCGCTGATAAGGCTAGTAGCGGCTACGGCTCAAAAAAATCCAAAAAGAAAAAAGGTCCAGGGGTCCACTGCTCCGTCGCATCATTTGGCTCTACTGCCTGTACGACCGCTGCCAATTAGGTGAGGTCGATCGAGTTGGAGTGGTCTGAAAGACCGCTGCTCCAATCCACAAGCGAACAAAGGCTTGATTTGTACTTTTTTGTACAATTTGGTGACAACATCAAACAATCGCGTGGTCCAAGTCTTTTGGAAGTTCACCAAAACTATATACTAGGAGGTTTGACTCCTTACATGAGCAAACTCAGCACACCCCTAGCCTTAGCTGTATGCAAGGAATCAACGTTGCAAGATGCACTAGCTGAAGGACATGGGTCTTAGCCGTCAAGCCCCTGGCCATAAGGTGACTGCCAGGCAGTCTGAAACTTGGTACTTTGTACCTGCAGAAAACGCCTTCTGCGTTAGCCACGGTCAACCCAAAGCACTGTGCAGCCGCGCCATACGAGTAGCATCTAAACAATTCTCACTGTGTTGTTTTTAGAATGGATAAGCTACCGGATTGCTGTTGAACCTTGCGGATTGCTTGTCTGCTCCGGGGACTTGCAGCATCCTCCTGCCCCCTTGCTTGGGTTGACCGAGCCTTGAAAAAAGGTCCATGGTCATTAAACAGCAGCATCTGTCAAGATGTTAAGTGAAACTTCCAACTATACATACGGTATAATATGATTAATTTTAAATGTGTGTAGAGTATATCTAAAGCCAATCGAACAAGCATTATCAAGTAATGGTCCGTGTTGAGTCATGCTGGGTCCGACAAACACGGTGCAGCTTCTTGGGCGCTACTTTGAAGAGAGCCAGGTCGCCACCAAAAAATCGACCCTCCGACCAACACGTTCATCTGAACGGCCAAAATAAGCGGATTCAGATGCTGGTTTTTTTTGCCACGACCTTGAAAAATGCAACAAGCTATTCAAGCTAGCAGCAAAATCCTATGATCCTATGTGCCTGTGTGTCCAGTGTTTCATGGTTGAGGTTTTTGCAAACAAACACTTTAAGATCTTTATCCCCTATCAAAGCATGCATGTTGAATCATACCGCCATGGGTACTGCAACTTGCAATATCACGAACAAAGGTTCTCCTATGCCCATCCAGGAGGCAGTCAGCGCAATTCGTCACTTGGAAAACATGGAACTGTGATGTATACACAAAACCTCAGCCAAATTGGACAGCATTGTGCCAAAACACAACAAACAATACGTCAGATTTGATCGCTGTCTGTGGTTCACCTCAGTTAACCTCACGAACATGCACATGCACACAATCTGCTCTCAAATGTAATTACAAACGACCAGCGTGTACAAACAGCAAGTGTGGGGATGCATCAGTCAAACTAGGCACGCATTTTTGTGCACACTCCATGCTAACTCAAGCAATGGCAACTCCGTGCTATGTTGGATCAACCAAAAACATCAGCGATCACATCTCCATTGTTCTTAGGCATTCAAATCACACGTCATTGCATCGGGCAAATTGAACCTCAGCGGGGCTCGAGGATAATTCTGCAATCTAGGTTCTTTAGAATTTGAGTGTTTTTGTTGCTTTGCTGCTCTAAGGGCTCCAAAACTCAAGACCTTGTATTTGGGCGACAAGTATTAAAGTCTAGGCGGCAGTAGCACACAAGTTTTCTCCCAGTCCGAGTTCGACACAACACCGTGAGCCATCAGAAGCTTCGCCTGGCAAGGTCATGCGATTCGGGCAGGAAATAGTAGCAAAAAGGATACTCTTCAGTGAACAAGAGCTTTCTCACAAATGCGTAGCGAAGGGTTCCTGCTCAAGTCTAGGGAGGTAGAGTTGCGTAAAACCCATGCAAACGACTGTATATCGCCTGATGGTCGCCCTAGGGCCCTAGGGTCCTCGCATTGGGGGAACGTGTTTTGAAGGTCTTGGATGGAAGAATGCCGAAAATAGATGAAAATAATTGAAAATAGTGTGTGAAATGCGCTGAAGGTGACTGTCCCATTGTGATGTACGATTTTGCTGCGCAAGTGCAGCATTTGGTAAGGTCGACAGTCTCAGTCGCCCTGTCATCGGGATTGGTGTGTGTCAGGTGGCTTGTTCGAAGCTGTATTTTTGTGACAACTTTCAGTTAAAATTATGACTTTGAGTTATAGTTATATGTGGGTGAAGCCGAAATCATTCCAAGCATTTGGTGTGATGAAAGTTTGCTTGAGACGCAAAGGTGACTGTGGCATGGTCACTTTGTGGCAAGCAAAGTACTTTGATGTATCGGATGTATTTTGTACTTGTACTTTTGGTGTTAGTAGCAAGCTACTAGGTTGGAGGCCATCGCTAGTAGGTTGGAGGCCATTGCTAGTAGTAATAAGAAGCTACTAGCAGCAAGAAGCTAGTAAGTTGGGAGTCGAAGGCGACATTTGGTCCAGGTGCCTGTCACTGTGCCAATAGGATTGGTGTGTCAGCGGGGGAGGCTTGGGCAGCGAAACTGCTTGCCAGGGCTGCGCGATGTGAGTGTGCTCTACCGCCTCACTTTTGGAACATGTCTTTTGGAAGATGCCTTGTATAAAAGCGTGGAGGATGTCTTGTATGAAAGGCTCGTTGGTTGGAGACTTGACGTGGCTGTTGGACGAAGTATTTTAGGAAGCACTCTTGCACGAATCAATTCTGTTGCAGACTTCCCGCTTCACTGTTGAAGGAAGTCGTGCGTGTCTAGCTCAGTAGTGGCCGGTTTGCAGTACAAAAGTAGCACAAGGAGCCCCTTCTGGGAGCTCCGCGCTCCATGTCTCACAAGACTGCCAAGCAAGATTGTCCCACAAGAGTGTCTTGGAAGAGTGTCAAGCAAAAGAATCCCACAAGAGTTTCCCTAAATATTGCTTTGCAGTTGACAACCTCCACTTCTATGCAACTGGAATGCGCTCGCAAGCGCACAAAACGATTTCCAACTACATACAAACAATAAATGTCAAGTCTCAACCCTTGCCTTGACTTGCCATCGAGACAACAGTGTCACACAGTCTTAGATAATTTTACTGTAGATATTAAAATTGTTTTGCAGGTTTGTGGGCGTCGTCAGGTTTTTTTTTGGGGGGGTAAGTTCCGGCCGGGGACCATCAGAGTAGTCTTGTTAAGCTGCGCTATCGTAGATGCAGTACCAACATTCATACAGTCTCCTTGTTCATCCACAAATTGGAGAGTGTATAGCACTGTCCATGTCTTGCCTTTTTGTCATGGAACTGGTATACCTTTTCCTTGGGAGACTGCAAAGCTGGCCCTCTCCCATACCCTGCCTCTGGGCTGGACTGGCCTTACGGTAGCTCCACATCACGTCGAAAGGTTTTTGGGCCAGGTTGAAAATTCGAGAGCTTGACTATACTTTTTTTGGCTTCACAACAAATTGGCAAACAACATAGAAAGAATCAGTCACGTCAACACCCACCCACCCACCCCCACACACTTAGTCACAGGGCTTGCAGTTCGTCATAGTCCACAATGAAGTGGATGAGGGAAACGCAAGGCGATGAAGTCAGCTCACTTGAAGTGTTGAAAAAACACTGTTTGCGCGTGTCCGCAGCAAGCGTCAGCGGAAGGCGGCTGCGGGAAACTGGCTTTGGGAGATAGCATGCAAAACCACCATGAAACAAACCGAGAGTGGAACAGCGTGGTCAAAAGTTGGTCGGAGGTACACACAGTTGATCAGACTGTGCATCCACCGAACAAGCATAGCTTTGTTAGTCAGCGTTTGCTTGTCGGCTGCTGGCCCCCTGCAAGACTGTGGAAAGACATCAAACTCCTAGATATGGAGGGTGGCACACACACACACACACACTCCTTCAGATTTTTGGAGCCTCATCTCTGCTCTAAAAGCAAAGGGTGCCTGTAATCATCATCGCCAGAAATGAGCCTTTCCAACCTGGCACATATTGACACACAGACTGATGCTCGAAGCCACTTTGCAACTGCTTCAGAAAAGACTGCTTGAGCTGTCACTGGATGAGACCCATGGGACAACAAGAATGGCTATCTTGAAGCCACGTTTAGCTATAGTATGTTATAGTATAGTTCTTAGAGCTCATCCTGCAAACCAATTCGTGGATGCTGGATGCTCTCACCAGGGCTGAAAACGGAATTTTTCCATCTGCCTCTGAAGAGCCACCTCTGGGGGTAAGCCTCCAGGCCTCGTGGAATAGTCATCCGCAGGATTCAGCGCACAACTGTTTCATAATATTAATGATTGCTAATGTATTTAGGACGCTACTAGGGGCTCCTGGCATCGCTACTAGGAACAAGAAGCCACTAGGGGCTCCTGGCCATACTACTAGGAGCAAGAACGCTACTATTAATGTATCTACTAAGCCAAATTTAACAGCAAACACATGGAAACACGATCATCGTGATTCCGATTATAGAGTGACCTTTACAGGCTATGGCATGGTGTATCCTGAGTTGTTTGTTTTGTGGGTAGGACCCGATTCGGTTTCAGTGCTTAAACGAACAACACCAATCATATCTAATCATGGTGTGCCACAGCCCTCAATGATGAGGGAAAGCAATCACTCAGCCCCATGGCATCATATCTGTTGCCATCAGCATGGATGTATTATTCTTTTGGGGTGCCAACTCCATTGAGGACTCCTAAGAGCGATGGCCTCCAACCTGAGAGACGTTTCGGTCCGACACCGTAGGAGTGTCGGGTGCCCGGGCGCCAGCAACTTTCTGCAGTAGGGGTCACCCTCTGTGTGTCGCTGTCCTGAAGAACAAACCCTGCACGATTTGTCGAGTCCCTTCCAGGTCAGGGTTGCATGGATCACCGTACTTCATCGCTGTCCATTTGCAATGAACATACAGGTAGTATATGGATGTATATGGTAGCATGGCTGGCGCTATTTTTCAGACTCTGCAGAAACCTGGAGTCACCAGCAGCTCCATCCATTGCTCCAAAGATCCCTTTGCATGTGCTGTGAGCTTCCATCCCAGCTAGCAGTTGGATGCGCATCATTTTTAGGCTGGTGTGTACCCAGCAAAGCCCACGGTGGCCAAGCCAGAGGTCCTGTGAAACCTATTCGGTGAAACAGGAACATGGATTGTCGTTAGCGAAAATCCAACGGACAACTTAATTAATCAAATGATAATCTCCGAAAATGCATTCAGGCCGTCTTGAGCTCTCTGGCTGCTTCTCATCTACCTCCTGGGCAAAATATACATAGTCTACATCAGCGGAGTCAAACGTGAAATTTAAGTATATATTAATACTGTATATATGTATATATATAAACATTATATTATATAGTTCAACGGAAGAATGTTAAATGATGTTAAATGGTTACTGAGGATCAATATCATCCATCAACACTGGATACGAGAAGAAGGGAAGCACACGCCGTAACGGTATGTAACGGCAAGTCATGAATCATCATTAGCACTTCGCACGGCCACCCTGCATCACTGCCACCGAGGTCTTTGCCCGAAAGTGAAGAGGTTCTGGAGCCACTGGATCGACTGGAGCTCCAGCCTGAACTTCTTCTCACACCAAAGGGGGTCAATCGGCTAGGCTCTTTCCCCGCTTCGATGGTCTTCATCATCAGGACTTCCTCTCTCAGGTCTTTTGGACCTTCGATTGGCACAGTGTTCGGTGTGTCCGGTGTGATCCCTTCAGGAGCTGCACACTCATCGTTGATCTGGGCATCTGGCTCTCCCAAGTCAAAGGTCACCTGAGGAGTTTGAGGAGCTTCCGAAGCTAACGAAGGAGACTCCAGGGCCTGGGGAGGAGACTCCAGGTTGATCTCCACCTCCCCAACTTCATCGGCCTCCGTTTCACAGGCTTCCGCATCATGCGCTTGAAAGTCCTTTCCCTGCAAGCTCTGAGTTTGAGCCGCTGGTGCCACTGGCATAGGGCTTTCCAGGCTTCCGGGGAGTTCGGGATTTTCTGGGTAGCCTGCAGTGGCAGCGACTGCTTCTTGCTTGAACTTCTTTGGGATCTTCCAGGAATTTCCAGCGTAGCCAGAATATCGCTCTGCGTACTGGACCAAGCTGTCTTCACTTTGAAATGACAAATCTCGGCCATACAATAGCTTATCGACGACGCAAAGGCTTTTCAAAGCGACCGAAGACCGTTCAGTTGGCTTTGGCTTCGCGGCGCGACCAGCATAGTCACCGAAGAACTCGCCGTCAAAATGGCTGCAGGGATGCTCGGACTCGCCAAGTTGCAAGGAACTCTGAAGACATCGTGCTGCTGCTGTTACACACGATTTCCCCTCAGGTCTTTCGGATTTCTTTCCTGCGGCACTCATATCTTTAATCCGTATTCCACGTGGTGTCCGCTCAACCCTGCTTGATCCCAGTCCATTCATAATGTCACCCATGGACTGTGTGTGTGCAATCCCTGGTGCCCTCAAAGGTTTGAATCGGGCTTCTGTGTTTCGGGCACCGGCACAATCGGCAAATCGAGTCATGAATTCTTCATGTGGACTTTTTTGCCCGTCATGGTGTGCCAGTTGGGAACTGCAATTTAAGACGGCTCGTCTTTTCCTGTTCTCCTGGCAAACACAGGTTGGCAAAGAAATGGACACAACATATCGGAAGATCCTGTGGTCATGTGCTAAGCTGCTAATTCAAGAAACCAAACACACCTCCCCTGGGACGTGAGCAACGAGAAGAAAATATAGAAACACAATGAAACAAATGTCATGTTTTTCACGTTTTTTCGACTCCCTTTTTGCATTCTCCTGCTTTGCATCTTTGTGCCCAGAGGGTTCACCAGCATAGCCTGCAGCATGCATCGTCTGCATAAATCCTCGATGAGGACTTTCACCGGAGCCGTCCAGATCTCTGCCATACAAGAGCGTATCCACCGTGGATTGCTTGGTCAAAGAGACGACTCTTCGGCCCTTGTCCGGTAAACCGATGAGCGCCCGATGTTCTTCCTTGCTCGGCAACGGCATCTGAACGGCCCCAAGCTGTGGCGAAACTGTTGGCCGCGCAAAGAGCCAAACGAGCCACTGGTAAAGCAGAATGCAAATGAATACAACACTGCCATAAGCTATACTGTACGACTCTAAACATCGCTGTGCTTCGGGTGCAATGGGATTTGGAGGGACAACAAGTCACATTGCATACAGTTTTCATATTGCTGCTGCTGCTGCTGCTGCTGATAAACAGGACATAACAGGACAAACAACGTGGCACGAAACGAACAGGTTGTAAAAAAGGGCTTGGTGACAGCAACGTTTCTAGATGTTTCCAGTCCAGTATATATTCCAGTTTTAGAAAGCCGCTTCAGTTTACGGAGAAACGTAGAGAAGTCACCATAGCGATCCACTCCAAGCCGTCGGTGTGCCTCCTAGATAGGCGGGAATCACTTCTTCACCTGGCGTCCGTGGCTTCCCTTCGATCCAACCCTCCAGAACTTCAGAACTAGGAGCAATGTTCGCTACTGGGGGCTCCTGGCCTTACTACTAGGAGCAAGGACGCTACTAGGGGATCCTGGCATCGCTACTAGGAGCATTCTTGCTACTAGGAGCAACATGAATCATATGACCATTGGATTGGCCCATCGTGGCAGGTCAACGCGCCTATGAACTTTTTCAGCAGTGTCAGCGTCTCTGACTCTGTAGCCATCTGAACCTGCAAACGGTGAGGCCAATGGGGCCTACAGGCTCCTTCTCAAATGAGAAACCGTGCAAGCACGAACTAGCATAAACTACAGTACCTCTTTAAACTAACGACTCCTCCAAATATCTAGGGACGGCCTGTCACCCCCTTCAGTTTCTGGAAGGCTGATTGGGAGCAGTCGTTAGTAGTGGTTGTAGCAGTTGCTGCTGGTTCTACGGGACCAAGCATTCCAGGTCTGAGGCCTCGTCTAACAATATGTTTCAGATTCACATTGCTTCATGCACTTTCCAGGTATTCCTAACAGAATGCTCCGACAGGAACCTTTCTGTTCTTTGGACTCAATCACCGGTCTATCAGAATGTTGGCTCAGGGAAACGAGCATGTGGTTTTCAACTGGGATTCAATGGGCTGGTCACTCCCTACCTGAGAATTTAAGGGTTCCATGGATAAGAACTTCACAGCTCAGCCTTCCACGGGCTCTTTCAATGCAGAAATCGAAACTTTCATGCGGGCAAACACCCACTGCACAAGTACTATCAATCGATTGATGCAAAAGCATTAAACACCCAAGTAAGCAGGGTCATCGAATTTGAGATTCACACAGTGAGAACATGATAGATACACGGATACGCGAAGCTTGCAGGTGAGATGACTTTTACGCGCTTCTACCACCCAGCCCCGAGTACCTTGGCAATGGTGCCAGGATCAAGAAGGTAGCTGAACATAGCCCTGGGCCAGATGGTGCTGGAGCTTCCAAGGACAAGAGCAAGGCAACACATGACAATCTCTCCACCAATCTGTCTGGACACACATCCTGGTTTGACTTTGAAATCCTTGTCTCCTTGTCGCTCATGTGTCATGATAAGTTGTCTGGCGGTTCTTGCTTTGACTTGAGGTCAAGGCCAAGCTTTTGCGAAGGGGGATGGCACCCTGATCAACTCAAGTAAAAGATCGGAGTCACAAAGCATCCACAACGAGCATGCAGCAACTAAGAGCTTTGCAGAAACATCTCCAGAGGAGTGGCGAATGGATCATTGCATGCGGATGAAGCTATTAGATGACTCAGCAGGATGTTGCTCTTTCGCGTGATTAACTATATAACAACTTGGGATCTTGGGTCTGCAAAAAGAAGTAATTATGAGAAACCAATGCATTGGTTCAGAGTGCTCTCAAAATAAGCATTTTGCAGCCCGCCTTATGAAGAGTATTCGATGGCAAGTCTCTGGCAACAGGAAGCTCCTCAAGTCGTGTGCGATTCATGGCAGGTGCCTGACTACTCATCGTATGTCACCACAGAAAATCCCTTGATTCTACAATACATTCCAAGACACCAGAATCTTATATGACATATAAATATAATACCTCTATAAACAAAAAAATAACACTATTAGATGCTGGTAGCGATGGCCTCCAACCATGACAACATACACTAGCTCCAGGAGCCAGTATGCAGTGGGACTGCAATTGAAACATGTCATGTCATGTCAGCTGAGACCCTTCCATCAAGAAACATAACCATGATGGAATACAATATACTGTAATACAAATACACTCACATATCACGCATGTATAAAAATCATTAAATATCAAAAACAAACATACCGGATCCTGCATGCCACCATCTTTGAGAGTGTCCAGGCCTGAGAGCAAGCATGACGAGGATAGGGAAGGAAAATTATGCCGCAGCTGTTGCATAGAACGTTGTTCCAGAGTGTCAAAATATCGATATCATGCCAAAAACCGTGTACGATTCTTAGAGTATCAGTGCGGATCCGGTACTGGGACTGGGTATCAAAGAGTCTCAATTTCGCTGTTGCCTTTTGAAAACGAGAACTTCGAATTGCGCCGACCGAGTACCGCTGCAAGTACGCTAAGAGCTGGGCGGCGCCAAATTGCGCATCGGACCACTTGAATCCCTTCAAATCAATCACCTCAGTGTTTCAGCACGGTCTTCAGGCTGGGCATGCACAGTTTGACAACTGAACTTCCTCAGCGAACTGGGTTGCCACACCAAAGTGACTCCGGTGAAGGGCACCCCACGTCGGATGGAATCCTGGCACAGGTCTTTGCAAAGTTCATACCGTGTGATTCTGAGGGTCTTAAATTCTGAAACATTGTTGAGCAATCGATCGTCGGCGACTGAAACTCAATTGAAACTGATCATGTTGTAAAAATTTTGGATTGCAGACGGGCACTGAAAACCGTCTTTGCATTTCGTGGTTTCGTCATGCTTCCATCAACATGCATTAGTTAAAAATTGTCACAGGATCTGTCCTCCTCTAGGGCGGCCAAACTTCTCCGGCAATGGACGATATCCAGTTTCCGCAAGACCTGCATGAATAGGGTTTGACAAAAGATGAGGCAGGTTGTAAACATTTCAATACGCGGGGAGGTCTGCAGCGTATGTGGCACAACACAAAAACGGTTTGCAAATTCTTGCACGTCAACGTGATCTTGAAAGGTCTCCAGTCAGACTTGAAAAGGCCATGTTTCAGACCACTCGCATCTACCACTCTGATAGTGCTACCCCCTGACCCAATTCCGAATTAGCAGTGGTATACACTGTAAAATTACTTTACTTCGAGTGATCCTCACCATGGCATTGTACTGTGTTCAACATCACCAAAAAAATGTCCATCTTGCACATGGTAGTCTATTCGGCAATTTTTCTGGCATTCTTTCCATATGGTTCAGGTCCGGCGGTGCCCACTGCGATCTGGCGCTCGCGGTTCAATTCCGTTGGTGTCCATTGCGATGCTGAGCTCGCCGTTCCGGCCCAGTGGTGCTTACTCCATGCAAAACAACGCACTGACCCCTTTTATGCCGAGGCGCGCAACAGAAGGCCTTCACACACTTCATGAATGGGGCGCCGAACAAGGACTTGCAGGTCGAGCAAGCGCGGCCACCCAACCAAGTGTGAGCCAGGAACAAAATCCTCAGTCGAGGGAGCTTTCAATCCTTCCCCTGCGGACCCGGCTAGTTTAACTAGTACATCTCTATACGGACTACATCTACTGCCTAACTCTGCACACCCGCTCTCCGAACATTTTGGTTCCATTGCTCCGATCATCGCTCCCAGGCCAGGCAGCCGGCATGTCAATCCTGCCCAAGTTCATGAACATGATGATCTCATGTTCATGATCAAGCAAACAACTTGGTCCTCCGCATACCTTGTCTTGCAACCTTCAAACTTATAAAGTGCACCGCGCATTCATAAGCACACTGCGCATGCGTCCGCAACTCTGCTACACGCATTGAGCCAAGTAGCCTCAATCGTGACACTTTCATCACGTGGCTCTCGCGCCGCTGGCCCGAAACGTGCCTGGCCACATGCTCGCGCCAATGCTGTCCTCCGAGTAGCGTGCCCAATGTCTGGTGTTGCGTCCTTGAACCAGCAGCAAGTGCACAGTACAATTGCCAGTGCTCAAGTCTACTATAGACTAGTCTGGATGGAACCCCATGTGAGATGAACGCTAAAAAGGCAAACAAAAGTATACTGGTACGGCGCGCTTCAGCTCCCATCGCTCGGGCGCGGACGACAACCACGAAGACCGTGAAGAAAAGAAAAGGGGGTAAAACAATGGTCGATGAGTCGGCCCTGGGATTCACCGGTGTGATTTCTTGCAGCGGTTGGAATCAAGTGGCCGCGTTTTTGGCAAACATTGGAGGAACTGTCCTGTTACCATACTTACCTAGCAGAATGTCTGATATGTGTTTCCTGCATTTTCTTTGCAATGACCAGGCAAACACCAGCAGTGTGCAAGAGGGGATCCTGTCCATTTCAGGGCGGGGATGGGCGGAGTGGAGCGGATTCAACAAGTTTGGTTGTTGCTAGGATTTGAGGGTCCACTTGTAGGTCTGATTAGAGGAGCTTAAAGACAAGTAAATTACGGTCTTTTAAAGCAAAGTACGTCCATATGAATGAATGGCAAACGAACAAGCTTAACGAGCGCTCTGAGGAAACATCTGGTTCTCACTCACATGAATGACAAACTGCAAGAGTATGATCGCCGTGACAACTAACAGACACCTGAACGCCGCCTGTCCTCAAACCACTTTGATCACAAGAGCTGATCGCAACACACCTCAAAACTGACAGCGTCCAATTGCTGGCTAAAGAAGAGCCATAATCAATCTTTGAACCGCTCGTCATGTCAAACGGACTCTGGGCCCCAAAAGAAGTCGAGAACCCGCAACGATAGTCCAAGTGTCTGGTCTTTCTTCGACTTCGCGCTCTTCCCGCCGCACGAGGCATCGCAAACCACGCAGCTGCGCCCCATTGCAGCAAGAAGTCCACAAGTCACATGCCACAGAGGTGCCAAGCAATCGCTTCCTGCTCAAGGCCATATATGGCACCCTCACAACATTCTGTCTTGACTCCAAGCTTGC